TTGATTTCAGCCCTCAATTTGATTATTTCCTGGCGTCTATTTCTCCTGGAAGCACACATATCTTAAGGCTTCCTTTCATATAGACGATGGTAATATGATAATATTCACAAAACAGTAATAAAGGCAAGAGGAAACTTTCAGAAGTAGTGAATATATTCTGACTTAGATTACTATGATAATTGCATGGCTTCAAACCCATCAAACTGAATATGCATAGGAATCCTTTTGCACATTTTCACAATAAATAAGTGTTAAAGTTAAAGTAAGTTTTATCAAATGTATTTTAACCATTATGAGATATTATAATAGTGCTTGATATACTTTCTTTATGCCTAGTAGCATTCTTTATGAAGTTATATTTTATATGAAGCCCTCCTTCTAATCTCAAGTTGATTTCAGTGAGATAGAGGTATTTCATATTTTTCAACATTACTGGTTTTATTTATTCATTTTGGGTAGATTATTATATCCATAAGTGGTTATAGGCTTTGAGTATGTAGAATAGTAAGTATTTTAGGCTTACCTCTCCTTTTGTAGCTAAAGTTCTATACCTGTTAGAGATGTTTCTTTCTTTTCAGCCAGGTAAAAAAAACAATAAGATTCATTATTTATAACCGTCAGAAAAAAAAATGTATACAAGAAAGCACATTTGTGTAGTACTTTCTTTGTGAAAGATTTTGATCATTGCTTCAATGCTCATAAATTTTATAATAAATGCACTCTAGTTAGCAAATGTGTATTTTACAAGTCGATTTGTTCACTATGATTGAAGGAGTAAATATGTAGTGACAGAAGTTCCTCACTACTGAAGAAAATATTTAGACATGAGGAGAGGATAGACACATTTATGTGTGCACTCAACCATTGCCTTGTCCTGCAAAGATTGCCTGAATGCCATAAGAAACGAAAATGCCCACTATGAATATTTGACTTTTGGAGTCTATCCCCTAATAAAGTGAAACCCTGGTGTATGAAGAAATATTCATTTTAAGGCTTAAGCTCTGAAAGTAGAAGGTGAGTCTAAAACATCTTCTGGAATTTAGCAATGAGGGGAACAATATCAAATAAAGGAGAAACCAATGTGAAAAAAAGAAAAATTTGATTATCAACTTAAGTAATGGTAATAATTGAATAGAATGTAAAATGAGATAAATTAATAGAAATAGGCACTAATAATTGAATAAATAAAATTATATTCCAATTAATAAATATAATAACAATAATAAAAATTAAATTTATCCTTATTTATTTGATGTGAAACTGTATTACTAGCATTTAATATTAGCCAATTCATATTTAATATTAACCAGTAGGCATATATATTTAAACGGTCTAATTTCATGAGCAAAGGGTAAATAGATGCTATACAGAGACAACAACTGACAGATTTCTCTCCTTTTACGTGCTTTTATAATTCTGGAAGTTACTGTTTGACTTGCTTCATATTTAAATTACCACTTCAACTGAATAGACACTCAACCCTCTGCAGAGCAGGGTGAGGAGACACAATGGTGATTTCTCAGAAATGGACCCCGACAATTTCTTGGCTGTGGCTCTGCCATGCTGATCACGGTTTCTGTGACAAGGTCCTGGAGCACACCTAGGATATGAGCCATTGGCTCAACCTTAAAGCTTCTTCTCAAGGAGCTCATGGAGAGAAGGTAATGGTGACAGTTTTGACTTATCAGAATATCTTCCCAGATCACAACATATCAGATGTTTCTGCGAAAGAACCCCTGTGCCCTGTGAGAGTGAGACCACAGAGAATTTGCTACATAAGCCTATAGAACTAGCTGTGAATGCAATGCCAACATTGCCACATTGGCAAGCAGGAGGGCAAAGGCAACGTATCACTCTTCCAGCAACTGGGAAGTATGAGGTTCTCACCAGACTGCTTTGTGATACCAAAAAATGTAATAGATGTTATCAAAATATATAAAAGCCACAAAAGAACATCAGTTTAATACAAAATGCTTTTTTATCACAATATTTTAATTCTTTATTTTGTCAACTTGGTATATTGTGAGTATTGGTTTTTATATGGTGAACTGTAAATGGAGTTCAGCTTTTCTCTGTCCTGCAATTGCTTCCAAATAATCATTCAGAGGCTTATATTAATTATAAATGTTTGGCCAATGGCTCAGGCTCGTTACTAGCTAGCTCTTACATTTAAATTAACCCATATTTCTTATCTATGCTTTGCCACATAGTTTGTGGCTTGTTACCTCATTTTCTATATGTTCTGCTTCCTGGGCACCTGACTGGCATCTCCCTGACTCTGCACTTCCTCTTCCCACAATTATTCCAGTCTGGTTTTTATACTCAATCTCTTCCTGCCCAACTGTTGGTCAGTCAGCTTTATTATTAACAATGAGCATAACCCATAGCAGTAAACTATTTTTTATATATCTGGATAGGTTCAACTTACCATAGTTATAACTGTTAGAAATTTATTTTTCTTATTTTTTGTGATTAACTTGTTATTATATCATTTCCACACTTTCCCCCTTCCCTTAAATCCTTCCATATGTGCCCTTCTAATCCTTTCAAAATCATGGTCTATTTTTCATTCATTATAACATACATATATGTATATGTTTGTGCCTATTATATTCCTAAATATGTAAATACAGCCTGTGCAGCCTGTATACTTGAATGTGTGTTCAGGGATGACCACGGGGTAGAGAATAACCCACTGATGCACCACTCCCTGGGAAAGACCATTTCTCCTACTTTCAGGATTACCAATAGTCCCTTGTGCAGGGCTGAGGCCTCCAGGTCTTTCCCCGTTGGCATGTCTTTTGTTGTCCTTGCCCAGCTCACATCTGAGTACTCTTGTCGGTGAGATGTATGGTGCAGTGGCTGACATTATTAGGAATTGCAGTTTCACAGCAAACTCCCCAATGCCTTGATTCTTACAAGCTTTCTGCCTTAGTACATTAAAAGTATAAGTTAAGAAATTATTTGTCAACAAGTGTAAATATTTGCTCAGATTTTCTTTGCTTTCCAGGAGCTTCATATTTATACCTCTGAACCACAGCTTTGGGTATGTGTAGGTATACGTGTGCATGTGTGTGACATTATGTGTTGGTGTGTGTGGAGCCTAGAGAGCATCTGCTGGCTTCTCTTATTCCTCTACCTTAATTATTATGATAAAGTCTCGCTGAGCTTCAATCCCAATTTGGCTAGTCTGGCTATCAAATGAGTTTCAGGTACTCATTTCTCTCTACATCCCCAGAACTGAGATTACAGGCATGGACTTCTAACAGCTTTTTTATAGAATGCTAAGAATTCAAGCTCAGGGATTCTTGCTACAGGACAAATATGTTACCAACCCTGTCATCTCCAAGATCCATGTATGGCTGCTTTAACAGAGAATTAACTAACTATTGTAATTGTTTGTTAAATCTATGTATATAAAATTCACCTACTCAACTTTTTGCAAAGGCCGGAAGAAAACACATTACATAAAACGAGCAAGGAATATAAACACTTGGGTGGGGATGATGTGAGATGGTTTTAACGCACTGCCTGGAAACTCAAAGCTCAGTGTTCTTGATTACTGATTCTTTGCTACCTAACTATGTCATTAGGCTATGTGAATTCATATATGTCTTGAAACAGCACTAAATCATGACCATTAAAAATGATATCTTGCCGGGTGGTGGTGGCGCACGCCTTTAATCCCAGCACTCGGGAGGCAGAGCCAGGCGGATCTCTGTGAGTTCGAGGCCAGCCTGGGCTACCAAGTGAGCTCCAGGAAAGGCGCAAAGCCACGCAGAGAAACCCTGTCTCCAAAAACCAAAAAAAAAAAAAAAAAAAAAAATGATATCTACCCTTCCTGCACAGATCAATGGGTTTATGTAAAAAGATTTTTATTGAATGTCTCTTTTCTCATTTGCAGCTCATGTTTTCTTCATGTAGAATTGGTTAGTATTAGTGTCTTAACACAGTCACCATCTCTAAATAGCTCTTGAAAGTAGTATTTAATATTTTCCTAGTTCCATTTTTTTCCTTAATGGTAAGTGTAAACAGATATATTGGAGGGATGGGGGGGGTGGGTTGGAGGGAAAGCTGGGGGTCGGAGCAGGAGGAGGGATGAGAGGGAGATCTGTGGTTGGTATGTAAAATGAATAAAAAAATTTTTAATAAAGAAAAAAGATATTGGTCATCCCTATATTTGTATCTCCCATCTCAAAGCATATTGTAATGAGAAAGAATTAATCAGGGTGTTCTGACTGAGAAAATAATGACAAATCATTTGCAGAATGGAATCTTCTAACATAATGCTGAAACCCAGAATACAACACTGTGCATAATAGAAATTTGTTCCTAGCTAGAGACTGGAGAATGATTGAAAGGTGGTAAGTAGTTTACAGGATATAAATAATCTATCTTCTTTCACTTATTAGAGAAAAGAAATCATTGTGGAATTCATCAGTAGTTGCAGCTGCACTTAAATTTTTATTGTGTTATTGTTAGGAGATGGTACTTGCCTATTATCTTTCTTTCACTATCCCTTTCTTTTTTAGACTCTCCTCTTTTTAAAAATATAGCCATGATAAGCATCCTAGGCAACCTAAGTTTTCTTCCCAACAGTTTATAAGAAAATGTATGTTACTTTTTTCCTTGGCAAACTTGAGTACTAATTTCCTCCATACAATATTATGTGTACTTTCCAGGAAGACCCACCACATTATGTGAGACTATGGGAAAAGCTGAGATTTGGCTGATGCGAACATATTGGGATTTTGAATTTCCTCGTCCATATTTACCAAATTTTGAGTTTGTGGGAGGACTGCATTGCAAACCTGCCAAGCCTTTACCTAAGGTATGTCTATGAAGGATAAGATCTTAGGTGTTGCATGATACAATAGTTTTTTCCTTCAAGGTTAACAGTTTTAATAACAGAGGTGTATTGCTGAATAACTCTACTCTGATAGAAAAATGAACTGCTCTTGTCACAGCTGCTGTTCTTGAACTACAATAGATGATTTGGATTTGAGAATTTAAACTTAAGAATGGGTCTAGGAGAGAGGTGAGGGGCTGAGCTGAGAGGAGTGAAGAGGGGAAACTGTGGTAGGAATGAATTGTATGAGAGAAGAATCTGCTTTCAATACAATTTTTAAACAGAAACTAAACAGAAAAAGAGAATAAAATGTGTATTTAAAATGTCTGTGTTTCTATAGTGTGGATACTGCAATGGGCATGGAAAAGTCTAACTATGGATGGATCACCAGGGGACTTCTGAAGTCTTCCTCGTGTGCCAGACAGAGCGGTGAATGGGGACACCTTCCCCAATTGTTTAATAGAGAAAGATGCCCTCATGAGAAGTCCTGATGAATTCTTTAGGATGTGATGAGTAAGAGGAGGCACATGTGGAGGGACCATAGAATCAGGCAGGGCTCTCAGACTTTAGTGTGGTGGGTTAACAGACACGGTGGTGACCTGTACTCTCATAGTAATGACAGGTATGAAACTGCCAGGAACTGATGATGATGATGACTGATGATGATGTTGATGATGATTGATGGTGATGATGGTGATGATTGATGATGATGGCTTTAGGTTTCAGTATAATCTCATTAAGGAGATAAAGGGATATTTTAGACAATTTTTATAGAACATTTGGTTTGATCAACAAAGAGCATTTGATGCAGAATCAGACTCATCTACATCAAATAAAAATAATAAAATGGGTAGACAGATTCAAATACTATAATAGTTGTATGATTATTATATCAGGGTTATTTGTGTTTATCAGGCATGATAATAATTCTAAAAACCTGACTCTCTGGCTTCAATTATGTTCATCCAAGTAAACAAACATTTCATTTTATTTCAGTTAAACTTTGTGAAATGCATGTCAATTTAAAAAGAGAAGTGTTGTCCCCATTTCTGCTCCCTTCTGTGGTGACTTGATGTCGCATTTGTTCTTATATATACTTTATGCATTTTTCAGAAACGTATTTCCTCATACAGTTACTATTTGGTTTTACATCATGGGAAGACATAAAAATTTCTTTGACCCTTAGTTCCATGTTTAATACCTAGAAGTATAAGTGAACAAAATTTCACCTAATAATTCTACACATTTTCAATAGAATGTTATGCTTGCAGGAAATGGAAGAATTTGTCCAGAGCTCAGGGGAACATGGTGTTGTGGTGTTTTCTCTGGGGTCAATGGTCAAAAACCTGACAGAAGAAAAGGCCAATCTCATTGCCTTGGCCCTTGCCCAGATTCCTCAGAAGGTCAGTAGAATCCCTGATCCTGGAGATCAGCACTGCTTCAGACTGACTATAAAGTGCAACCAGTAGTGGTATTTGCAGATAGAAGCTGAAACCTATCATCCAATAAACACAACCAATGCCAGCTTTCAACAGTTAGTGATAGAATATATAAATGATGTTTTTAGACATATTTGTTCATTTGCCATATTATCCAGTTACTGTGAAAAATAAAGACTTCTATAGTCATTTTCTACATATAGGATAGAGAAGAAACATTAGGTCACTTCTAAAATCATTAAGCCTTATTGACTGCCACTGAATTTTGTATTTTTGTTTACTAGTATGCTTTTGAAAAAAAAGAGAGTATATACCCTTTAGAAAGAAATCATGTTAAAAACTGCACTCCAACTTTCTGAATCTCATTAAGATGATATGAAAATATAGGTACTTTACAAGTAAAAAATAGCCAATTATTCTTTCTAATTCAAATATTCTACAATTTTAAAAACAAAATTCAAATATTATTTTAAAAATATTTTTTTTCATAATTTGTGGCACTCAGTTAACCTTAGCATTTATCATTATAATTCTTCAACTCAAGTCTCTATTCATTTCTATTCCATGGAGTAATCTAGAATCAGTCATGTACTGGTTAGTGTTCACATGATTGTATAAAGGTAATATGCTGATAGGCATCTTAAAATTGTGGCTTTCATGTCCACACTTGTCTCTTTCAGTCTTTCTCATTTAGAAAATAAAACTTGTCTCAATACTCCAAAAGTAAGTTTCTCCCTCAAAAGAATAAAATAAAAAAGTGCAAGAATGATATAGGCTTTGTGATAGACATAAAATTATAAGAAAGATAAAAGAGAAGAAGAGATAGAGGAAGATAAAAGAGGAGAAGGTAGAAAGTATGAAGGGAAAAGGAAGGAGAGTTGATGGTTTAAAAAAACAAAACAAACAAACAAAAAACAAATAAACAAACACTGGCCTCCAAACCAGAAGCTACCAAGAGATGACAGCTTGTGTCATCAGATCACACGGAATTAGTAAATATACCATGCATTTGTGTTTGCTTTAATAATTTGCACCCATATCTGATTTACTAAGACATCCCTATTTGTGCTCTAGTTTATTCCTAATGGTATTCTCAGTAATAAATATCAAAGTGCTAACCTATGTTTAACTGGCCAGTAGTAGAAGCCATTAGGTGTTCACTGTCCTACTCTAACTCAGTGTCTGTAGATGTTCATTTCATAGCCCCCTTCTCAAATACCACCTGAATAAAGTATGTACACCATTGGTTCCCAATAACTCACTGCCTTAGCACAGGCTCACCGTGTGTTTTTACCTGTGAAATCACAGTGCTGTCTTACACAGGTTTTGTGGAGATACAAAGGAAAGATACCAGCCACACTAGGATCCAATACTCGACTGTTTGATTGGATTCCCCAGAATGATCTTCTTGGTAAGACTCTGAGGCCAGAAAAATATCTGTAGTCGAGAAACAAGTTAAGCAATTGCTTAGCATCAAGTCAGTTGAAAGCATCAGATAATTTTACATCTTTATATATTACTCCAAGTTTTTTCTGTGGTGGTAGTACTGGGTATCGACTCTAGGTCAGCATGCGTGCAAAGAAAATACAAAGTATGCAAAGCAAATACACACACACACACACACACACACACACACACACACACACACACACACACCACAGTGCAGGCTTTCACCTCCAGGTCTAACATAGATATAAATTGTACAGATCCATGGTGTCCCCGTGCACAAAAGAACATCTTAAAAATCTCATCAGTCTTGACGTTTCCATTAAATGTTTCTATCACCACCTCAGTAATACCTTCGCAGACAATGAAAAAGAGTTAATTTCCCCTTTCTCCAGGAGCAACTTTTCCTGGAGTAGCAATGTCTCAGATGCTCAACATTTTTAGAAAATGTTGCCTTATACTGTAACCCTTTGTTCCTTCAATTTCTGTATTTCTGCCAACTAATTAGCCTGAAATCTATATTTGCTCCTTCCTTTGTCCTCCAAATAGGACATCCCAAAACCAGAGCTTTCATCACTCACGGCGGAACAAATGGAATCTATGAGGCCATTTACCATGGGATCCCTATGGTGGGAGTCCCCATGTTCGCTGATCAGCCGGACAACATCGCTCACATGAAGGCGAAGGGAGCAGCTGTGGAGGTCAACATGAACACAATGACAAGCGAAGATTTGCTCAGCGCCGTGAGAACAGTCATCAATGACCCATCGTAAGTGTTGAACCGGGTAAAGCCCTGACCGACATGGCTAGGCTGTCTGTCATTTTGGAATAGTTGCACAATTTCATACTTTTGAATTTGGTTTTGTCTCAAGTAACCAGAGACAAATGAAAACACTGCTTGTTTCATTTTCAACTACTGAGGTTATATCCTAAAAATTAAAAATAAATCTGCATTAAATATCCAGTCAGTATATCTTTTAAATATAATATTATTAGCATGCATTCCCATGTAGTTTTTATATTATGGACTTATAAGTAAGAAGTTGAGCATTATAAACCATTCAGTACAGACAAAATGGAAGTGATAATGTGTTCAACAGTAGTCATGCATAAATAACTATTAACATGGTGTTTCCAAGCATTAACATTAACACTTACTTGTGAGTATTTTGTAATTGCCTAAACATTAATAATGTTTATAACATTTATAACTCGATTCAGGAACTGAATTATGGGTTAGTATGAGCTTTCATCTTTCAGAAGTGTTGACCTTACAGTCTATTCAACTACACAATTACCAAGATTTTAATTGCTGATAGCTTTACTCATTTTATCAAATGTTAGAGTAGGAAAGTCTATGATTCTTTTCAGCTCAACTGCACAGAATGTTCACTAGATTTTATGTTAGACCTTAAAACCAATTATACAAGAAAATAGAATCACAACTACTGTCAGAAAACTCCACCTAAATACTAAAATACATGTCATTTGAAACAACATCACACGAACTCCAAGCCTTACTACTGCTATTACCTGAGATCCCAAGGATGTGCTATTTGCATTCCAGTCTCTAATTTCACAAAACAATTTCACAAAACAAAACCCTCATGTAAATGAGAGTGATTTTAATTATTTAGAATATTTAACAGTTTAACATTGTTGCTACATACAATGTGAAATGGTATGTGAATATGGCCATTAACTATCCTGCCTCATTTATAATAAAATTACAGGTTTTTGGTAATCATAAAAATGTTTTCAATCAAACATATGCAATGTTTAATCTTAAAGCCTCTGCTGAAAATCTTAACCAAAAAATTGATTTATAAATAAAAAAATCATTTACCTAAAATCCACTGAAATGAACATGTAAACTACTATATTTAAGTTACCATAGATCAATACAATTAAACACAAGTAGATGTTTTTAATACAATATTTTTATACTTTGAGAATTATATATATGTATATTGATCATATCCATCTCCTACTCCTCCCACTCCCAGGTCTGCTCCTTCACTCTTCTTGTCTAATTTTTTTAATAAGCCACTGAGTTCAGGTTGTGCTGTGCGCATACCCATGGGTTTGGGTTTATCCACTGGAGCATTGTTAAATCACAAGGAGCCAAACTTTTAAAGAAAACTGACTCTCCCTTCCCTATCAGCCAGCACCTGCCCCGAGCTCCTCCATTATTGCGCACAAAGAGGAACATATGTGAATAAGCCCCCACAGTGGCTTTTGAGCTCCCAACTCCCCTCACTTTTACCTAGTACTAAGGATGTCTTTGAAGCAACAGGATACCTCTTCCCAAACCACATTACTTTCCTCATCTCCATGAACATAGTCTGGAACTTTACCCTGTGATCAAACCTAGGTGAAATTTATTGCTTCTCCACTAGTTATTGAGAAACTAAAAGAGAAAACATGCTTTCCAGATACTTAGCTCTCCCCTTGATGTTTGTTTTTGTTCGTTTTGTTTGTTTTTTTGAGATAGTGTCAGACCTTATATTCCTGCCTGGCCTGCCTGACCCTGGAAACTTTTTGAGAAAAGGTTAAAATTGTAAGCAAAGGCTCTTGTGATTAAAAAAAAAATCTATTAGTTAAACATGTGTGACATAATTACTTAAAAAAAAACCACAAAAACAAAATAAATGTCCATTTGTGCATTTTTTTTCAAGTTATAAAGAGAATGCCATGAGACTATCAAGAATCCACCATGATCAGCCAGTGAAGCCCCTGGACAGAGCCGTCTTCTGGATTGAGTTTGTCATGCGCCACAAAGGAGCCAAGCACCTTCGTGTGGCAGCGCATGACCTCAGCTGGTTCCAGTACCACTCGCTGGATGTGATTGGGTTCCTGCTGGCCTGTGTGGCATCTGCTTTATTCTTGCTTGCAAAATCTTGTTTGTTTGTATTTCAAAAGTTTGCTATGACAGGAAAGAAGAAAAAAAGAGACTAGGTCAAGGAAAAGGCAACAAAGATCTCTGGGTTTGGTGAAGAACCAAATGGAGTAGTCCTAGTACTTAGAGGCAGGCACATGGAGCTGCCAATCACCCATTATCATCCCATTTTCAAACATCACATGTCTATCCTAATCTGCAGCTAAATTCTAGGGTGCAACATAATCACATTCTCCTGAAAGTGCCTCATCATTCCTTTGCTATTTCAATGATAGTTCTAGCATCTTCATGTCTTCCTGGCTCAGGGGCACTGTTGATTTAAATATATTCTTGGGGGCTGGAGAGATGGCTCAGTGATTAAGACCATTAGCTGTTCTTCCAGAGGTCCTGAGTTCAATTCCCAGCACCCCCAGGGTGGCTCACAACTCTCAGTAATGAGATCTGGCATACATGCAGACTGAATGTCATTTAAAATATAAACAAGATAACTGATAGCATTCTGAATCCTTGAGAAGATACACAGGGCATATTGAATATTATTTAAGGGTCACATAACACGGACCACGCAAATGGAGCACTGACCACAGCAATTAGTGTATTGTGAGGAGATTCATCATTTTCTTTTTAAATAAAAGCCAGCTTTTGTGATTCTCTGATGTCACAGGTACTAGAGGATGAATTCAGAACTGTGACATCACATTATCATATGAAAAGTATGTAAAAATTGTTAGTGCCTTGAAATTATGATGGTTTATTTTCCTTAAAATATGTATCTGTATGTTCTCCAGTGAAAGGTTCTAGACACTGTCTCCAAGAAATGAAGGGATGAACCGAGCCATCATTCCCCCCCCACCCCTGATAACCCTTACCAACAATATCTGAAAGGTTACTTCTGGAAAAAGTAAAAAAAAAAAAATTAATATTGAAAAATTGTCCTAATTTCTTAAACTTTAACTTATAGTGCTTTTGATAGCTCTCTGTTAATCCATTATACATAAAAAATTGTATTGTTCATAATCTATAATCACTATTTATAATGAAATGTTTCATTTTATGCAAAAATAAATACTTATATTGAGATCACTATGTTATTTCCTAGTCTCTATTTTCTTTAAATTTGAACTGATAATTTAGCTGTAACTATAAGTATATATTAGTTTATCAGATTTCCTGAGAATGTGACAGACATCTAAATTAAGAAACAGGGTACTTATGTTGATGTAGAAGAGGCCTGAAGTGATAGAATCAATGCTAGAATGTATTGACTAACAGATTCACTGAGGAAGCATTAAATAACACAAAGTAGAATTTAGCTAAGGGAGCATTGCCTCTAAAACACCCCAAAAGCAAGTAATGCGCTAACCAGGCCTGTTAGAGACCAGCAATATTTAGGATGCTAGGAAGCTGATATTTGTTCATCATGATTGACTTCTAATTAAGCTCCATTCCCATAACAATAGAGACAGCCTAGACTTATAACCAACAATTAGGCCTATTCTCTTATCCAAAACATGCCTCAAAGGAGCAGCTCAAGCTGGCAGGACAGGGTCACAACCACCATTAAGTCCAGGTCTGACATCTAGTCCCCTGCTCTTATCTCAGTTCTGCCAGCTGGGCAGGATGAACTTGGGTAACAGGTATCAGAAAGAACAACAATGACGTACTTAAGAAATAATTCACATGGTATCTTTAGACTTGCACTCTCTTGTCTCTGTTTAAACCATTTAAAATATGGCTTAATACATTTAAAACCCAGGGTCGGGACCTGAAAGGAATTTAAGAATGAAGGTGTTTATGGATTGCATAAGCTGTATAAAAGTTAGTAAAATCTTCTATTCATATCTGGCTCCTCTTTGAACAGTAGTCTGAGATGAATGTATACTATTATTAAAGACCTTTCCCCCCTTATTAATCTCTAAGTGTGCAGAGTGATTTATCACTGGAGGTGCACATCAATATTAATTCTAGAGCAATCTAGCATGTTGAAGCCCTAGCTTTGATCAGCAACAATGTAAATTTTGACTGATAGAAATATTATTTGTGAAATGTTAATTTAAAATATAGTGAGGATTATATTTTCTTAAACAATAAGACTAATGACATCCTTTAAATTTTCATTTTAGTATTTGATGTACAAATATGGAGATGACATCCACTGTCTCAGTGAAAGTTTTTGAAATTCTTTATATTTTTTATTTTTCTTGTGTAACATCATCTCACTTTATCGTCTAGGCTGGTCTATGACTTGCTGTGTAGACAGGATTTATTACATTGGCTTACTCAATGGAGCTGAAATAGACTGACAGAAATTGTCTCATACTTGAATGGCTGAGAACCAATTAGCTTCTCAGTACACAGAGAACTGGTGTCTCACTCAGCAGACCCAATCTTGCACTGAAGGCCTAGAGGGTTCATGGAAATCATTGGTTCTCAGTCCACATTGGTAATCCTGAAAGTTGATTGTAATATCAGCAAAACCATCATCATCAACGGGAGAGAAAACCATGGGAGCAAAAACATGAATAATCTTCCTTTCTCTGTGTCTTTGTTCATCTTGGCTGCTACCAGAATGGTACTGCCTAAAGTTGGGATGGGCCTTCCTACAACAATTAAGACAATCAAGACTCCCCACTTCCTGAGATGTGCCCACAGGACAATCTGGTGTAGAGGATTCCTCAGTCAAGCCATCCTGCTCAAGAAATTCTGAGTTGTGACAAATTAACATTTAAATCCCACCATCATAGCTGGTACTATAGGCATATATCACCCAAACAAGAGGACTTTAAGTGGCTTATCTCTTTCAGTATGACATCTAAAGATGACTCCACCCCAAAAGTAACTATATGATGAAAAATGCCTTTATTCTTGTATATGTATATAACTGAAAATGCATATACATTGCTAAATAATATTAAGAACACTGAAAGCACATGGTAAATGTTAACAATTTTATCAAAAATGACTCATATTGGGGTGTTTTGATTTTTATTCCTCTTTTATTTTTTGAAAGAGCTTTTTGTATTGGCTACATGATTGCCTCCCTTTCTTTCTTTCTTTTTTTTTTCAGTTGAGTTCAAACTCTGGTAAATATATATTGAGAGGTAGGGGACTGGCCATCCTAGCAGTGTGAGAAGCAGGGTTTGAACATCACTGAGCATCAGGGCCTCTTTTGTTCTCTGACAGTTGGGCCACTCAACATTCTGCTCACTCAAGTTTTCTCCCTTTTTCTTCTCCTCTTCCCTTGCCTGTATGTTATCAGGAGTCGAGTGATGCTCCAGAAACTCCTGGGTGATGTAAACTGCATTTATCAGTGTAACTTTCTTTACCTGTAAATTACAAAACAAACAGCTGAGAACTAACTTTTGTAACACACATTCATGCAATTATTCATATGCGGAGACTCATCTTGATAAAACAGAAGCCAAGCCATATCTGTAGAGTTATTGCTACATAACTCTAATCATCACATAGCATTTAGATGAGCACAAAAGTAGGAAAGAGCTACAGCGTACACTGTTCATAAGTGGTCCATGTTCCCTTAGTCTCTTCAGAGCACTGGGTTCATTAGCTGTTAATATTCTAAAATCTACCAAATCCAAATCAACATGTTAACACAACATGGTTTCATGATTTATCCTGACCTGATGATGAGAGGTAGGGATGCACTCAATCAGTTGGGTGATAGGTATAACTTGTGCCTGTTCTCAACCTGGTTTTGTCTGTTTGTTTTGTTTTCTAAGACTGGTTTCTCTGTGTAGCCTTGGCTGTCCTAGAACTCACTCTGTAGACCAGACTGGCCTCACACTGAGAGATCTGCCCACTTCTGCCTCCAAAATGCTGTGATTAAAGATATGTGCCACCACTTCCCAGCTCAACCTGTTTTTAAAACTAAGTTGCTTGCATTAGTACAAGAGTATATGGCCTTTCCTTACTGACAGACCCTAATAGTTTACAATTGAAATAAATCATAGCAGTTCCATTGCCCTATTTAAAATATAACCCCTAAATTACATTATTATAGACTAATAATAAAAACAAAAATTTTGAGGTAAATAATGAAACATGTATTTTAAAGGTCCAATTCTCACTCAACCCTTTGGAATTTGGACCTGGATATACAAAGTAAAATAAAAAGCCATCATATATTTGCCTTTGAATGTAAAGAAAAGCTACATCCTTTAAGATAGTACCTTGAGGTTCTAAGGTGTGGTGTCCTAACCAAAACCTTGAACACCAATCAGTAAATAATGCATCTTTAATAGTGCAACACTGAACAATGTTACAATTCCCTTGTTATCAATATATCACCTAACCATGTTCAATATTACCACCAACACTGTGACATTGGTGAATACTTTATGGAGATAGTTGGAAATAACTGCTTACCTGCAAACCAACAAATGTATTATCAAATATTTGACTAGCTTACTTTGGCAATGAGTGCCATATTAGGAAGCACCTGGAATGTAGCTGTGATTAACACAGTAATTATGTACCGACTTCAGTGCCACTGTGTACTGTGGCAGAAATCTGCCATACAGCTTAGCTAATGGTGGCTGGTGGCCAACTGCATTTCACAGGCAGCTGTTGGGAGATGAGTCTCTACACTGCTTCTGGCATGAGATTGTGAGACTAGGAAGCCTAGTGTGGCTCTTTTTCTGTGCATTCAGAGTCTTTAAGCTTTCTTAGGGCTATGTGGATCATTGCCACACATTGGGTGCCAAATGTAGCTGAAGTTTTCCTGTGTCCTGCCCAGTCATTCAGCCCTTCAGACCCAAGTAAACAAACAGAGGCTTATATTACTTATGAACTGTATGAACTGTATGGCCATTAGCTCAGGTTTATTACTGACTGACTCTTACATTTAAATTAACCTATTATTCTTATCTATATTTAATTCTTATCAAGTACCATAAGGTGGCTTAGTACCTTTTCTCAGTTCTGCCTTGTTATTTGATTCCTCTGTGTTTGGCTGGTGAAACCTGACTCAGCCCTTTCTCTTCCCAAAATTCTTCTCATCTGCTTGCCCTGCTGATACTTCCTGCCTGGCTACTGGCCAGTCAGAGCTTTATTTATCAACCAATCAGAGCAACATATATTCACAGACTACAGAATGACACCACACATCAGTTCTGTAGTTCATAGGGATCATAACGTGTAAGACAGATAACTTTTTCTACCTTAGCATTCAGAAAAGCACATTATGAAATTATAAACACTAGCCAACAGGGATTAAGCTTCAAGACAGGGACAAGCTTCAAAATTTGTGTCCAATATCTAATTTAATTGGTGTCTTCAGCAAAATGGCCTTACCATTTATTTCTGGTGGGCAATGAAGAGCAATGAAATTGTCTATGTTGTTTAAGAAGCCACTGGAGTTGTCCTGGCCAACAGCTCAGAAAGGGTCCCATGCTTGCTATTGAGATTTACAATGGAGTTTGAAGTTAATTAGACTAGGATCCATGACACCTTGTATCATAAAAATAAGAAGAGGAGAGGAAGAAAGAGAAATGATAGAGGAGGAAGAAAGGGATGGGGAGGGGGAGAAGGAAAGAAAGATAAGAAGGAGGAGGAAAAACAAATAACTCAATCAACTTGAGTAGAGCTTGGTAGTCTAAACCAGATAATGATATTTTTGAGCTAGAATTTAGTTACCTCTAAATTTTAAAATTACTTTCTGTCTTAGTCATCTGAATGAATTTGACTTCTTAGTCTTAAAGTGGAAACATCTCCATATATTTATCTCCTTTTTTGGTGGCTATTGTGATTGGTATGAAGCACATTTTTAGTACACAAGTGTTATACTTGTGTATTTATTTATTTGTGTGTGTATATATAAATCTATTTAGTAGAATTTTGTACTCATTGCAAGTAGTTCCTTAGTGGATCGGTTAGTGAATTTTTACTTCAGTGTGTCTTCTACATGGGTGTTTTAGAATTATATTTACCAGAACTTCTGATACTAATGGACTGGATATTTTTAGATTCTCCACATCTTATCAAATAATGTTTCTAGATTTTCAGCCTCCTATCCAAATAACTGAAAATAGGGGCTCACATATATTTGCAAGAGAAGCAAGACTGAC